CTTGCAGTAATGAATATCTAGCCATTACACCTGAACTCTAGACATGAGGATAGAAACCTAGAGGCAGCTCTAAGGTATTGTACCTAAAGTCTAACCTAGAACTGTCATACACATTTCATTGTCTGGAATTTAGTCAGATGCCACATATAACCACAAGGAAAGTTTTCCATGTAATATTTTGACCAAAGAAAAAGCCAAAAAGTAACCAATAGTCTCTACAAAGAGTCCTTTTTAGGTAGCAAAACATACCTATTGCTTTTAATGTTGCTGAAGTAAAATACCTGGAACAACTAGGGGAGGAAAGTTTTCTTTTGACTCAAAGTTTCAAAGTTTATGGTTACTTGGTCTGCCATGCTTTAGCCGAACACCATGGTGCCAGAAGTGGGTGATGAGGAAACAGCAGGAGAGGAGGTAGTCAGGCAATATATGCTGAGGGACCTACCCTCAGCGGCCTCCTTCCTCATCAGGCTTTACCTTCTGGGGTTTCTACAGCCTCTTAAACCAGCACTACCAGCTGTCAACCCATTAGTCAGAATATGAACCTGCGGCGACCCTTCCACACTCCATCCACAGCACTGTAAGTAGCGAAAATACCAATTGAGAGAGTAAATTATGTCAGATAGTTTCACAGATTACAAGGAACTTTACACTGGAAATTGAAGCAGTGGGCCTTTCTTAACACTGAATTAAAAAAAAAAAAAAGATGCTGCAAGTTGAGCGAGTTGTGAAGAACGTGAGTCTATAAAGGAGGGGCCTTCCTACTCTACCCCTTTGCAACCACATATAGAAATGCCCAAGTTTGATGTGTCAGTAAATCCCTGCTTCCCCCAGTTATCCCTTCTTTTTTATTTTTATTATTAGTTACATTTTATTAACTCTGTATCCCAGCTGTATCCCGCTCCCTCATTCCCTCCCAATTCCACCCTCCCTCTCTCATTTACTTCCTGCCCCTTTCCAAGTCCACTGATAGGGGAGGACCTCCTCCCCTTTCATCTGACCCTGGTTTATCAGGTATCTTCAGGACTGGCTGCAAAGTCCTCCTCTGTGGCCTAGCAGGACTGCTCCTCCCTTGGGGGTTGGGGAGGTCAAAGAGCCTGCCATTGAGTTCCTGTCAGAAATAGTCCCTGTTCCCCTTACTAGGGAAAAACCAATTGGTTACTGAGCTACCACAGGCTACATCCGAGCAGAGGTTCTAGGTTATATCCATACATGGTCCTTGGTTGGAGAAACAGTCTCAGAAAAGACCCCTGTGCCCAGATGTATTTGGTCCTGGTGAAGCTCCTGTTCTCTCCACGTCATACAAACTCCTCCTTCTTTCATATGATTCCCTGTACTCTGCCCAAGGTTTGGTTATGAGTCTTCGTATCTACTTTGATACACTGCTAGGTACAGTCTTTCAGAGGCCCTCTGTGGTAGGCTCCTGTCCTGTTACTTATTTTCTCCTACGTCCAGTGCCCATCCCATTTGTCTTTCTATGTGAGGATATATCATCTTACCCCGGGCCTTCTTTCTTGCTTTCCAGGTGTCAGTTCAGTTGTGTTTGAATTAAGCGTTATGAACCTGTTGACTTTGCTTTCTGTTTTATATAGTATTGTGGGAACTGGTAATAAAAACTGTACTTCTAGCATTTATTTCATTGTAGCTCTAAATGATTACACATGTGCAATTATCAAAGCATTAGCTGGTAAATAGTAATAGCAATGAGCCATCTCAAACCCTATTATAAACTTGATGTGGTATGTGTGCATACACCCAGCTGCTTGGAGACTGACCTAATTAATATCATACTCTGGGTTGCTATCTGATTGGTTATTGCCAACAGATTCTTTAATAGGTACCTTCCTAGGTCTAGGTATTTTAAAGGGCATTAAGTCCATGTGAAAGATGCTCTTCTTACAGTTATCAGGAAGGTATCAATGAAAACAATAGTTTTATTTTGTATATCCAGAGTGGGAAAGCTTTTAAAAATTTATACTTAGCAATATTAGTAAGAATGTGGAAGAGAAAACAGGCACCATAGGTATTCATATATTGGTAGTGTAAAAGAGGACTTTAGATGGACACTGGCAGAAGTGACTGAAATGGGAAGTATGTACACATCCCCAACTTAGTCATTTTGCTTACAGAAGTATGTACTTCCTGCAGAAGTATATTCACATGGCTGAAGTAAAAAATAAATTAGAAATAAACTGTCATGGATGGGTTAAGCACAGAACATAAATAAATTAGGTGCAGTATCTTATGAAGGTAAAAACAGGTAGTACAAGCCTTATTGTTATGAGTTTAGCCTTAGCAATCTCTCCTTGTTTCTGAAAACAGGGTGTGGTGATACATGCCCATAGTCCCAATTACAGGAGGATTACCAAAGCCCATTAGTTCATGTATGCTTTTCATACATCTCGAACGTAGTTATTTATTGTGGGAGGTAATTGTAGGGAAACAAACTGGATGAGGGGAGAATGAAACTCTGTCCAGCCTAATTTAGGTAACCAGTGGTGGGCCAAGACTTAAAGAGTCTGACATCAGCTCATATATTTTGACATACTTGAGTATAGCAAAATTTTGTAAAAAAGTTTTCAGTTAACAGTTAACTCAGCCCCAGTGAGTATAACAAAGCTTAAGACATGTTTACACTGAAGCTCTTTTGTCCATAAAATGGGTTCTTACTGAGTTAGAAACAATGCTCAAAATAAGGATCTAGGGAGAATGACTGAGGTAAAGATGCCTGTGGGGGTCAGGATTTAGTCTGACCCTAAGATAACATAGTCACTTAGGCTGTTGTAAAGTACAAATGACATTTTTCATAAGGGTGAATTTTATGGCCTTGAAGTTGTACTCAAGATTAGGGAGAAAGGGTCTGGGACAAATAAAACATAAATTCTGGGAGATACAGGTGGAGCCTGGCTCATCAGACAGCAAAGGATCACCAGATTGTTAATTGCATCCATTCCTAGCATTCCAAGAGGAAGTCAGGTTAAACATCTTCCTTTGAAGGATGCCTTCAAGTGTAACTTTCATGGCTTCTCCAGTGCTTACCTGTGTGCACAAGGACTTTTGCTCTCTACAGTTAATATGAGGATATATTTATGAAACCTATTTTAAAATGTAAAATAGTATTAAATTATAGAAACAGGTGTGGGGAGGGTGTGGGTGTAGGCACAGGTGTGCATGTACACGTGACAACAGTCAGAAGGCAACCTTGACTATTGTTCTTCAATTGCTATCTACTTGTTTTTGTTTTTTTTTTTCTTTATTTTGCTTTGTTGTTGTTGTTTGCAATAAGGTCTCATTGGCCCAGAACTTGCCAAAGAAGCTTGGTTGGGTGGCCAGTGAGCCCCCGAAATCCACCTATCACCATTGTCTACTTTCTGCATCACAAAGATGCACCGCTACCCTCTAAGCCTACTTTTTCCTTATATTTTTTTTCCTGGGTTCTGGGGAATCAAATTTAGCTCTTCATGGTCGTAAGACAAGTGGGTACTTCACTAACTAAGCTCTCACCTCAGGCTGTAAGTAACCTTTTAAAACCCACTCAGACTGACTTAAACAACTGAAAATGGGATTTTATTGATGTGTCAATAAAGCCCCAGGGAGGGATCTGCAGGTTTTAACTGGGATTCAAACAGCATGAGGAAACATAAAGTTTCTTCTCTTCTAAGCTCCAATCCCATAAACTTTTTACACTTACCGCTCAAAAAGTTAAGGCAGGAGGATCAGAAGTTCAGCGTAATCCTCTGTCTCATGGTGATTTCAGGCCTAGCCTGAGATGCATGAGACTCCATCTTTAAAGAAAAAAAAAAAAACAGCCACTGCATCTCAAAGCTCCACTTACACATTTGGGTCTTTCCTCACAGCCTCTCCTTACCCAAGGCTGTTTGCTTGTTGATTCAAGGCTTGAAAAAGAGGATTTAGACGTGACTTTCCCCAAAGATTCAACAGTAATCTCATTGTATCTCACCTCCCTCTGAATGGATAGGGTCCTGTCATTGACTCATTGCCTGCTGATTGGTACAGATGTAAATGAATCAAGAAATTGAGAATAAATATAGGCCAAAGAACATGAGCCAAGTAAGGTGAAAGAGACTATTATGGTGAGACTATTATGGTGAGAAGTATAGACAGGTGGTGGTCATCAAAACCACTACTGCCTGTACAATACCTGCTGTTATGAGACATTTATATCCATAGGATATGGATAAAATTAATGGTCCATATGGTATGTCTACTAAAACTGCCTTGGTAAAGTTAAAACATATTGGCAGTCTCTGTGGAGTAAGATCTGATTCCCTAAATAATATGGAACTTAAATAGCCAAGCTCTGAGGCTATTGGAAGTTACAGCAACCAGTTTTAACATCAATGACCATTTCAACTGGCAGAGGCAAAAGAACCCTCTCATTTATGAAAGAACTAGAAGTGGTAGCACTTCCTTGAGACCACACTTCACATGTATGGTAGAGGAAGGACTAGGAAATTGGTCATCTGTCTTCTATTCTACAACATCCTAAAAACAGCATTTAATAGGGATCATAATAGCTAGTTACTTCTTGTTTGCCATTTGCCAAGTAATGTGTTAAGTGTACACATGAAAAATCTCATTTAGTCTTCACAGATGCTTTATTCACAACTTACTGCAAATTGGAAGACAGGAGGCCTTAATTCAACTCCCTTCAGAAGCTTTCTTCATGCTTTTTCTGCTATAATTTTAGATTACAGTTCTCTCCTCCTTCTTACCTCTTCCCCCTTCCCACCTACTACACTTTCATGCTTGTTCCCTTGCTCCCTTCCTCCTTCCCTCTCCTCTCCCACTCCCCCTCACCAGACAGTTTTTGGTCTCAGGTACAGGTTTGTCTCAGGTACAAAAAGTGGAGTGATGAATGTCCTGGTCAGAAATCCTATCAAGTATGCTCTGACATGGACAACTGGATCCTAGGATATATATTAACTCTGTTTAGATCTTACATTATAAAAGTCTTATTCTAATTTTAATGCATATTTTAGCAGGCACCTCCAGAAAGTCAATGCAAAGCATCCCCCATTATCTACAGATAAAAGAAATACTTCTAATCACCGATCAAGAGCTTCTGCCGTGCCACATAATGGAGCAGCATTGGAAGTTCTATGTGGAATGTAAGAAGCTGACATTCTGAAGCCTTGTTTTCTTGGTAGCTTATTTAGTATTTGTTCTTGTAATCAAGATTTCCATCTTATATGGTGGGCCTATCTTAACCTATTACTAATTATTAACCTGTTAACCTAATTATTACTGGAGATGTGTATTCACTGTAATAAGAAAACTGTTATGGTATGTTTAGTGCTTTTTTGCCTGAAATAAATGCATTTCTGAATAAGATTGTATTGCGTCTCTTGCTTTATTTTTATTGATATAAACTTAAAATTAATCTTGCATTCATCGCCTCTACCTATGCATGAGTGACAGTTCCTGCTAGGGAATTGAGGATACAAATAAATGATCAACAGATAATTACCCCTGAAGAGACCCTGGAATGTTTTCCCCATTTACTCTGAAATGTAGCTTAAAATCAAAATGTAAAATTATAAAGGAAATTTAAGTTTTGTGTAAGATTGTTATAGGAGGTCCCAGATATTAGAACAGAAAGCTAGCCAAGTGTTGACTGCGGCTGACTGCTTTTGAAGGATGAACCTTTGACTTCTACATGGTCATGAGCATTTGTCAGATACTCAAGAACTTTATCAGTTTTCTCAAATTCCTTAAAATTTTGATAAGCAAATTATTCTTATCCTTCATTATCACTGACTCACAAGTAAGCTTTGGCCTGCCATTCTTACTTTATTACTTTTCATTGTCTAGAAAAGTGAAAATTGCAGTAAAATTCACTAGGAGGCTAGAGAGAGTGTTCAGAGTCCTAGTAACCACGTGTTAGCTCACAGCCCTCCATATAACTCCAGTCCCAGGAAACCCAGTGCCTCTTCTGGCCTCTGTGGGCACTAGGCATGCACGTGCATAGGCACGCATGTACACAGAACACTAATACACATAAAGTAATAATTTAACATTTTCTAATTAGTAGAATAGTTTTGTGGGGGAATATGGTATTGGCTTTGGGTGTCTTACTGCAAAAGGAACTTTTATTCACCTGTTGCAATTGTTGCCTCGGGGGCTTACTTTCTCCTTCTGCTAACCTAGGCCTAGTCCTGGAAGCTTCAAGCATCCATACAGTCTAATCTTGGCCTAGAACATTTTCAGCCTCTGAGACTTACTGCTTAATAAGCTCATCTTTTCTTGTTCCTACTGAGTTCTGGGTACTGGTTCTACCCAGCTGTTCTGGCTCACATTACTCTCCCAACTGACTTATTGAGTCTAGCTTTTCTCTTGGCCTCTGAAATTGCTCTGCTTGGCCTCAAACTAACTCCAACAATCTGCTCTAATTTCCTGCCTCCTTCTCATTCTCTGGCGTATTCTGTCTTCACCTGTGTCTAGCTTGTTCTCTCATTCAGCCTCTCTGTAAAACTCTCCTGGTAGAACTGCCTGCGTGCCCCCCCCCTCTCTCTTTCTCTCTGGTTGCCCCTTAACTAGCTTCCCTTTCCTCTCTTTTCTCTCAAGAGTTGGTCATATTCTAGTCTGTCAAATCTTTCTCTGATTTGTCACTGTTTCTACCACTCAATTAGACATCGCTTCAAACATGGCTGCTTCCTTCTACAAACTAACTTTACCTTCATTGTTTGGGATTAAAGGCATGTACCACCAGGCCTGGACCTAAGTTGTTCTTTACCTGAAACTTGCTCTAGACCAGGCTGGCCTTGAACTCATATCTGCTTGCCTCTGTCTCCCAGGTTAAAGGCATGTGTGTATTCCAGCTGGATCACACAGGCTAGAAGGTCTTTGGATGTGATCTCTTGCCAGAACAGCCATGCTCTGAGTTTAAAATTCCTTTACATCTTACTTTAAATAAATAGAATCTTTAGATTTTACAGTTGGAAGCTGACTCTGGGAGGTTGGGGATACAGATCTGAGCAACTGAGAAGGAAAAAAAGGATCTGTCCCAGCCAGAGCTGAAGAGAGCTGTCTATTCTGGGTTCTCAGTAAAGCTTTTAACCTCTGAGCCTCAGCCATACACAGAGCCTTGTGGAATGTCCAGTGATCCAATCTACTTGACCGAGTTCTTTCTGTGAAACTGGTTTTTAAAAATGTACTGCATGTATTCACTGTAATACATGGTACTGCCTGAAGATATTCTCATACAAGTATATATTGCACATTGAATATATTCCTCTTATATGCCTTGTTCCCTTTTTTTCCTCTTCCCCTCTCCTGTTAGTCCCCTTTTTTCTTAAATAGTCTGGCCTCTACTTTCATATATACATTTATGGTTTTACCTATTTAAAATAGAACTATTCATGAGAGAAAACATGGTATTTGTCCTTCTGAGACTAGCTTAACTTCCTTAGCATTGCTATTTTCAGTTACAGCCATTTGCCTGGAAGTGGCCTAACTTTGCTCTTCATTGAGGTGACAGTTTCTGGTTTCTTTGACGATGCACTTGGGTCACATGAATGTACTTTCTGTTCTGGTCCCAAGTATGGGATGTGGGAGTGTTTTTCCACCTCTGAAACAGACCCCTGATCTTCGTTAACTAAAAATAGACTCAGGATTGGGCATGTGAGGTTTTTCTGGAAGCTGTCTCTTGAGAGGGGTGTGGTTTTTGGCAGCTGGAAACATCCTTGTGTGGACTATGAGAAGAGATAAATAGAAGCCCACAGACAGACAACACTTTTGCATCGCTACGCTAGGCTTTGCAATGGTTCCCATCCGTTCGCTGGTCTTCATTTTTCTACACTTCACTTCATAGACATTCCAGAGAACTCATGGCACTCCAGCTGAGTCTTGCCACTTCCACTGATACATATATATATATATATATATATATATCAGCAATTCTAACCAGTTTCTCTTACTATAGCTTACTTGTTTATTGAGCACTGTGGCATACTGCTGCATAATTATTCTTAAATATTTGCACTGCCTCCTTTTCTGCTGCAAGTGTGAAACTGTAACAGATGCCTAGTTCTTAGCTGAACTGACATTGTGATGGAAGTGGAAGTGCTATTCAGGCCTTCAACCTGGTAGTAGTAACACTTGCCAAAATGAAAACAAAGACTTAATCTCATCAAAGTCCATAGTTCTGGGAAAAGTCCCTAAATGTACTAATCTTGCTCTTTGGCTTCTATACTTAACACTTATGGCTAAGTTCTTCCTAACTGAGGTGTATCAACCCAGGATGTGGATTTGTGCTTAAAAGCTCACCCTGAGAAAGTCTTGGGACAGTGCTCAGGTCCTAAATGTCCAGTATAGCCACCAGCAGGCCAATCAAAGCTTTCTATTGGCTTGAACCCATGTCTGAGTGCTCTTTTCTGATGGATTCCTCACAACAAAATCCAGGCCAACAATTCAGATTACCTATTGTGTGTCCAAATGTAATCTTCTGAGTTCATATCCCAATAATCTCTAACTCTTAAACATATTTTTGGTCCTGTTATGAACTGAATTGTGTCCCTCCACATTTCTAATCCCCAATTCCTCAACTGTGAGTGTATTTGGAGGCAGGGCCTTTAATAGGTTGGTTAAGTCAAGATAAGCTCATTAAAGCAGCAGGCACTGCGAGATCAAAGAATTGAAAATTATTTTGGGGGCTATTAATTTAGGGTTTGGAGCACAGGCCTGAGTGAAGGTCAGCCAGGTGGAGGCATGTCCAGCCACCTGCAGGGAGGAGCCAGCTTTCCCACATTCTTTTCCTGCCCACTAGAGATACAGTTGTTAGGAAACCAGCCCAGATGGCCACACCAGAACCATTTATGGACTTGGCACCTAAAGTAAACCAATCATTTCAAAAATCAGTTTCCCTTACCCAATCATGTAATGCCAAGGCATGTAACCTGCCACTTGTGGTTTTTCCCTTTAAAAACCTTGTTCCCCTAGACAGCCCCACCACACTCCTCCAGGGAGGTTGCTGCAACCCAGGCTTGATAATAAAAAGATCCTTGTGTTTTGCAGCAGAGTCAATTCCTGGTGATCTTTGGGGGTCTCACGAACTGGGCATAACAGCACTGTCTGACTCAATCTTCCTTATAAAAAGAGGAGACTTGGACACACAGGGATATAAGAACACAGTAATAGGTACCTATCTACAAACAAGTGCCCCAGCATGGAATCAACCACAGTGATGCTGATTATAGACCAGAATCTTTAAAAATGGACTTGTGTTTTTTTAAAGCCACCTCATATGTGGTATTTTCATTATGGTGACCCTACCAATTTATGCAGCCTGACTCCTCCCTGTTTACATTGTTTCCCCACCTAGAACATCCCCTCTCTGCTTCATCCAGCATGTCTCCTAGGTCTTGGATCTAAGTGAGGGTGGTGAGTGAATGGTGTAAGAATATGTGTTATAATTTGGGGTGCCTTTTCTAATCATCTGCTCTTGTTCCCAAATAATTGAGACAGAGACCTATTAGATTTTACGCTTAAAGCACTAAAGCTGGACAGATACTGATCTATTCTAACCCATCTATGCTGGTCTCACTGTTTTCCAGCTATGTGCCCCCCAGTTGTAGCCTGCCTGGGCTGCTTCTGCTCTATCAGGTCAGTCCTCTTAGCCAACTTCTCATGGCTGCATCCTTTCTCTTCCTCCTCTTACTTCTTTCCCGACTTCATGGTCCCTGAGACCCCTCAGTTGGGAATGGAAGTCCAGCCCCCTTGTCCTCTCTTGTCCAGCTAAGGGCTGCTCAGCTTCTTTATTAACTAATCAGAGATAATTTGGGAGCAATGTTTACATAACATTGATTCAACGATCATGATAATGCCCATATCTAGACTGCAACCATATCTCAGCACAGAAACCAGCATCTGAGTGCACAGCGCACCAGACCAACCACCAACAGAATGAAGAACTGACAGAAAAAGTGGGATCAGGTGGTCTGGGCTCTCATCTGGAAAAGTTTCAGCACCCCCGGATGCTCGGCATGTTTATTATATGGAGTTGAACAGGAAGGCAGGGTCACTGCAAAGCCAGACAGGAGCTGGGGTTTACGGTATACAGCTGGATTAAGGGGACTGTTCTAGCTAATCTCTGCAGAAGTGGTCTCTGTCAGGGAGCAGTTTTCGGACTATAAATATTTCGGGGAGGGGAGGGCTATGGTGGACATTTTCTGTGCACACTGTCAATACTCAAACTTGGTCTCCCAAGGAAGACCGTGCCATTTTACTTCTGAGCCTCACTCC